CACTCTTATCAAGCAAAACAATCTTAGAATTTCCTATCAAAAAAAAAAAAATCTTAAAATTAGACCTGGTAAAACTTAACCAATCAACCTACTAATTAGACTCGACTTTCCTGTTATGGGTGGGATCATTGGTTACCATCTTTTACTCCTGAAATTGTTAGACGCTTGTTACTCGTTGTGAATAGAGTCACAACTCTATAAATTGGTGAATGAGTGGGATCATGAGTCACAATCTCTAACCCCCATAGGCATATTTAACCTGCAAGTGTAGTGATCCAACCCAACCCCAAACTCATTTGCAAGCTGCACTTAGAATTTATGTATGAGTATATGTATATCCTTCTAATTTGATTTAGATTCATTTAGTATGGTTGTGATTTTGTGTTTTTAGTTTTTATTTTTAAAATTCAAGCAATCAAAATTATTAATAATTAAGAACAAAAATTAAAATTAAATAGTCAATTTATTGGGCATCAAATTTTCAAATAAATATTCAAAATTTCAAATTTAATTAATTTATGGAATCACTTAATTTTATTTTAGAATTTCTAAATTTTTGGAAACCAATAAAATTTAAAATTACAATTCACAACCATATAACGTAACGTTAGCCCTTGAACTTTCAATTTAGTGCAACATCAGCTCCCAAAACAAAATATAAAGAAGTAAATTGAAACTTGAAATTTTCAAAATCATCACTCCGGTCCTTATTTTAGGAATAATGTCCGTTTGAAACCAAAAAAGAAAAACAAAAAAAAAAAAAAATTGAAGACGCAAATTGAGTCAGTTGACCCCTTAACTGTTAACCTCAGATATTGATTTGAACAAGATTAAGGGCCAATTTGCCTCTACATTTTGTTTCCAGCCTGATTTGCCACTGAATTTAAAGTACATGGGGCGATTTACACTGCCAAAAATTTTATTTTCCCCTATACATAACTTCTTTCACCCACCGCCTGCTACCCCTCCCCAAAATCGGTCTTTAATCCCTAAAATCATCGCCAACTTCTTTCCCCCACCGCCTACCACCCCTCCCCAAAATCGGTCTTTAATCCCTAAAATCTTCGCCTCAGCACCTCTTCCGTTTCGATCGCCGCAGCAGCAACCTTAAAGGGTAAGTAATAATCCCCTCGCTCTAGTTTTGATTTTGGGAAAGAGATTTTGCTGCAAAGGAAACATTCTATGATTTGATCTCAGTAGAATTTTTAATCTCTTAATCTATCAGGCGGAGTCATCAGAGGAATTTAGTGAATTGGGTAGAATGAGATCTTCCCCTCCGAGGCGGAATTCTTCGGCTGCTCTAGTCGGTGCCAATAACGATCTTATTAGGGAAATTCTATTGCGTATGCCTGCAAAGAATGCTGTCAGACTCAAATTGGTGTCAAAGAGTTGGCTGTCTCTCTTCTCCGATATCAGTTTCATCCCTGGTCGGAATTCTAATGCAACCTCTGGTCTCATCATTATGGAAGGTGGCATGTCGAAACCAAGGTACTCCTATGTTTCTCTAGATGAAAGTAAAAGAACAACAGATGATGAACCAACAAGATACATTCGTTTTTTTGACCCCCATGCTCCGGCTCCTCTAAAGATTTCAGATTCCTGTAATGGCTTGTTTCTTTGTTACGCAAAAGCAACAGCATACCAGGCCATCCAAACCAGACTTTACGTTGTCAATCCTAGCACCCACCAATTCACCACTCTTCCTTTACCCCCTACCCATCAAACAAATTGGAAAGATTTCAGGTTAGTGTCTGATCCCTGCAAGTCATCTGTGTACCTGGTTTACGGAATTGATCTCTCAGATTCAGATTCAGATTCAGATTCAGTTTGTAATATCCTTGAATATTCGTCTCTCACTGGAGTTTGGAATTTGTTTCCTGTGGATGACTTCGATCTAGTCCATAGACGTTTTAAAGGAGCGTTTTGCAATGGTGCTCTTCATTGGGTCCGTAAAGATGGATATTCTTATCGTTTTGATGTCAGTCAGAAGTCAATAAAAAAGTTACCAAAGCCTCCACTTCCTGAGTATTGGAAGAGTGGTACTGATCTCCAATATTTTGGGGAATATGAGGGCAACTTGTATTTTATTGCTCATGATACAGGATCGTCAACATTGATTGTCTATGAGTTGCACAAAGACTGCTCTGGATGGTTTATGAAGTACAGTTTAGCCACAATAGACATTAATATTCAATTTCAAATGAGTCCTAATTTCCAACAGCTCGGATACTTGTGTTGCTCGGTGCTTTCATTGGTGAAGGTTAAGAATGAAGGGCCAAAGCTTGTAATGTGGATGCGAAACGGTAAGATCATATCTTATAGCTTCAAGGATAATACTTTCAGCAAGCATTGTGATCATGTGGAAAATAAATATGGGAAGTGCAAGGCTTTTAAGTTCTAAGGTGGGACTTGGTCACGCATCTGATTGGGATGATTAGACCATAGCTAGTGCCTTTTTGGATGAAAATTGTAACAGTAATCATCTATATATTTTATATGATTCGCCAAATTTCTTATTTGTATCCTGTATATTATTTTTATCTTTCTATTTTTTTTTATTTCTTTTCTGATAGATTTAAATTCTCCCATCTCAAGTTTTCATTATTTCTTTCTTGTTTATATGACTCTTGTAATATCTGGTTTAGATGTACAAATCCACCTATATATCTGGATTTCTAGTTGGGAAACTTTAAATCAAATCAGGAAAAAAAAATTTCCTTTTCAATTTATGCTCGAAGCCACAAAAGGGTACAATTTTGATTAAATGAAGAAAAAAAAAAAAAAAATTGCAGGGTGGCCATCTTCAACCCCTGGCGGGTTGAAGGGTCAAGTTTGCACGAAATTGGTTGAATCTTGATCGGATTCTTCAACCCATAACCGCTGCGACCGTATTTCTTCCTCTGCGTTACTGGAATCTTGGACGAATCTTTCAGTGCATGGCATCCGCGGGTCATGGGGACACTAGATCTGGTGCTTCCCACCGACTAGATTGGTCACCAGAGAGTGTTGCCTTCCGCCAAAGAGGGAGAGGAACAAGAGCACAGAGAGCTAGTACGTGCTGTGATGAATCATAGAGGAGAGGAGAGCAGAGGAGAGGACCGGGGAGAAAGGGTAAAAGTTAGATTTTATTTTCTTAAGTGTGAAGAGGATCTTTTTTATCTACACGTTAGGAGTAATTTTTTATTATAAATATATATAAAACTGTATAAAATTTAATATTAAATATAAATTTATAATATAAAAATATATTTATTATATTTTCAATGTATATATTAAAAAAATTCTTGTCTTTTTAATTTAAACACATAAAAATAGAATTTCGTACAAAAATTTTCAATGAACACATCATCCACCTCGAGGAGGAATATCTCTGCCTACCTCACTCCCACGATCCAACGGAGCCTGTGGAAAGTTTACCATCCCTAGACAAAGATAGAAGGAGAGTACAAAGGAGGAATATTTCTGCTTACCTCTCTCCCACGATCCAATGGAGCCTGTGTAAAGTTTACCATCCCTACACAAAGATAGACAACTGGGTAGACTCCCTAGACAAAGATAGAAGGAGAGTGTAAGGGAGACAAGGACGGCAGATAATAATTGTCAGGGCAAAAAATAAGGCCAGACTTTATATTAGTTTTTAAATTTTTATTAAAATAAATAAATTATTAAATTTAATAATTTAAGTAATTTTTTTTATAAATTTAAAATTTATTTGTATTTTATTAATATAAATAAATTATTTTGTAAAATAAAATTATAAAAGCACTTTTAAAATTTGTTAACTTAGATGATGGTAAACCAAGAAGGGATGAATTAGGTTTTTAAAAATTTTATACAATTTTCAAAAACAAGGTGACGGGACAAGGACAAGTAATTTGCAAGTTATTGAAAACTTAAATAAATAAAATACATAAATTAAAAAGGTAGGAAATGATAGAATAATAAAAAGACAAAAAACAGAAAAAAGAAAAGGAATTGGTGCAGGAAAAGAAGGGGCGACTCAAGCGTCAATAATAAAGAAATACGGTTTGTGGGGAAGAGTTGTTTTGGATTATTCTTTATTAATTTTTTTAAGAGAGGATATTTTCTCTTTATTTATTTATTTATTTTAAAAAAAGATATATCATTTTTGTTCATTATATTTTCTTTGGTTTCTTTTTGTTTATTAATGGTATAAGTTAATAAACAGAAAAATAATAGGCAGTTTTATTTTTTGAGAAATTCTTATATAAAAAATAAAATATCATGTTAATGGTATCTTTATTTATTAATGTAACAACACATTAATATAGATATTTTCAACTTATAGTTAGAAAAAAATTAATTTATTATAATTACTAATTATTTAATTATAAATAGAGACTATATATATTAATATATCATTACATTAATAATAAAAATATCACTAATGTAATATCTTGTTATATGAAAAAATTTCTCTAATTTTGTGTAAGATTTACTTCACTTATCCATTTTGAGTTGGTGCAGAAAACTTTGGATTCTCTTGTTTGGTTTAGTGCCAATTTGGTCCCTTATGTTTATTAGCTGTATATTTACTTTTTGAAAAATGAGACTTTTAGATAATTTTATAG